GTCTTTTCTATTTTTTACTTCAAAATACCTTACTGCTCTGTGTTGAAACATATCATTTTGACAAGTATTGCTAAGTTTGTGACATAATATTTCCCAGATTTATTATGTCACAGACTTGCTATCCAAAACTACATTTCTTAGTTACATGGAATCATATGAATCTGCTAAATTTTTGCATAGGTAGGTGATATAATATCACCAACAATTGCGGCTTCTTTCAAGAAACCATATCTCATGATACAATCTTGCACAGTCTGTTCATCGAAATAGGATACATGACATCTGTATTGTGAATTATAATACATCACAATACATTAATTATTGGGCATTGGACTAGAAGACCTCCAAGATCCTTTCCAACTCTGATATTCTATATTCTATGAATTGTGATACTTCTGAATTCTTCTGCATTTTCATAGATGATCACTAGATCAACTGAATTGAAGTTATGTCCATAAAGCTGTTCTCTTATTAAACTCCTTTAAGAATACAAGCAGTGTCATTCCAATATATTGCAACTTATCTAAGCTCCTGTTCCCTACAGAAATTACTTTCCTGCCTTTGGGAAGTCAACAAAGGAATTTTCCCTTAGGGCATAAGGGAAAATATCTGTTTCCTACTGTTGTTCCCTAAAGTGGATAAGCAAGAGTTATGCTTCTAATGTAGTTTATTACTATCATAATTAAAGCAATTCTAACCTTCTCTTCAATAAATTGATCTAATCTTTTGAGGTAATCTACGTTAATGATCATAATTATAGCTTATCAAAATGGGTTTCACAGTGTTTTATTATCCAGTGTAACAAAGAGATTTCCTTTCATTTTTTCTTGATGTTACCTCTATTATTTACCTTTTTCTTACATTTTAGCATGATGATTATTTTATATTCTTCACTCAAGAATATCAAGACAAATAAGATGCAACCCTGAAAAATCAGCATATTTTATTTTTTTAAAATTTGCAGTTTCTTCTTCTTTCTCCTCCTCCTCTTTCTCCTCCTCCTGCTCCCTTTAAAATCTACACTTATTGGGGCTGATGTCTACTTGACTTTTCATTAGTTTCAAGCATGTAAATCAGGTTGTTTATAGGCTTGCTCTACCAGGTCTGCAGATCTACGAAGTGTATGGATTTTCTAATCTTTCAGTCAGTTCTCTGTCCCTTTGGACCCATAGGAAGTGCAAATAAAAGGATCAGTTACATATTATATTTGGTCACATGGTATCTCTTCCATGGTTGTCCATTCCCTTAGTAAAGTCTTTTGGAGGTAAGTCTAAAAAAATATTAGCTGAAGCAAGTTCTCCAGAAACCAAATCTTTCCCACATCCTTCCCTGCAGTTCCTCTTTAAGAGGTGTCAGCATGGCTGAAAGAATGAAGTGGCTCCACATTGTTTGCCTGAACTATTATGTGCTTAACATTTCCATAACAAAAGTGCCACTCGACTTCTCCCCCATTAATGCAGCTTGAGGGCTCTTGTCCTCCTTTAATAAAACGTTGTTGAAATCATTTATTTAGAGTCCCTGGTTACTACTGGGAGAATGACCATCTTTGTGCCAAAATATAGTGTATACAGTTCACTATTTTGTAGTAGATCATTCCATTATTTGAGAAATTGATTAAATGGATGCCTTAGAAAGTATTTATGCTAATACTGCATCACTTTTGTCAGTGTGAGGCTTTTCAACTGTCTACTCCATCCAATACCTCAAGTAAAATACAGTAGGCCTACATTCACATATGCAACCGTTTCATCTTTTCTTCTAAGCCCATGTTAGATTTTATGTTAGCTTCTTCTCTTCTGTGGTACAGAGAATTATTTTGTCCTATTTTCTTCTTTATGATTTACCTGATCCTGTATTCCCCTATAGGGACCAGACATATTGAAATGACCTGTCTATCCAGCATTCCCTTGTATTGAATAAAGTGTTGTGCTAACTCAACTAAATCAACTCAACACACACACACACACACGAAATCCTAAAAGACTTCTTGAAATTGTCCAAAGCCCACTTTTGAAATTTTTCCAGTTTGGTTATCAGATTGCTAAACATCAGAATACATTTAAACTTAGGCCTTTATTTCATCCCAAATTCCCAATTAAAGTAGTTTATGTTGTTTGAAATGAAGAAAATTAATGATAGTATTAAAATGAATATACTCATATTTTTTGTCAGAGCTACTGCATATTATTTCCAGTAGAAAACTTCTAGATGCAACTATGCAAATATACCATATTTACATCTAAAATGGGTAATATTTCTTATCATTCAGAGAACATAAGTATTAGGATACTCAGTTTCACATGGGATGTAGTGGAATCAGAATTTTAAAAACCATAATTCTAGGGAAGCATCAAATCCAGTTTCAAGTTACCTATATACTATTATCTACATATAGCATAAAGATGGGTTGAAATATATTAGTTTCTCATTCCACATTGTATGGGATTTTAAAAGGAATAATCTTCTCCATTTTTTAAGCTTTACTGTAAAGTCTCTGATTATTTTTAGCTACCAAGAATCATGGAGAAATGGAGGCATGTAAGTTTAATAAATTATTCTTATTAATCTTGCAACTCAGAAATAAGTTGGTTAAGATGGTTTGCTTTCCTTTTCAGCCATTTTGTTTGCACGTTTATTTTCAGGTGATCCATGCTTGCCCACGTACACTTTTATATATTGTTAAAAATAAACAGAGACCTTATGTTATATCCATTGTACTTGTGTACAAAAGCCTCACAGTCCTCTTGGGTGATCAGTGAAGCTTGAATCTGCCTCTATTTACTGTATGGTCACTGTCAGTTCAATGAACTGCCTTCTTATTCTCCACCATTGTCCCACACTCCCTTAAACATTTGTCACTGAAGTGCCTCTAAAGACAAATAAACTGTCACTGAGAATTCAAATCTGGTAACTGGGAAGAAAAGGGGCACAAGGGTATCCAGTGGATTATTTTACATGAAGTGGGGAGGGGAAAGTATTAAGAGAGAAAGTGAGAGGGAGTAAGCATTCTTTGCCCCCACTCATTTTGTCAGGGTGGGTCAAATCTTGTAAATATTTCAGAAATCTTGTAAACATCAAAGAAGTCAGTGCTGTGTTTCTCAAGTATTCTTTGAGGCACACCTTATTTTGGGCAAATCTTACCTGCTGGATAGGGTACAGTTGAATCACAGTTACTCAAGAAAACACTTAGAAATTAACTCATGGAAATTGAATGGGCTGAGAAAAATGGAAGCCAATCTTCAAGTAGCAAAGTGGAGGATTTTTTTCCTTATTATTCTCCCCTCCCTTTATTATTTTTATTTATTATCACTATTATAAAGCATCATCTATGTTTCAAAAAACTAACAAGGAAATTGACTGTGATAGATATCGATGTCTATAGGATGATCATCTCATCCATTTGATGAGCTCCAGATGTGCTAGACTTCATAATTACTAAGTCTCAGCCATTAGAATCAGCCATGCAGACTGAAAATTGTACAGTGACATCCAATACATCTGGAAGACACCAGGTTGATACTGAGAATTGTTGGGTGAAGACATTCAATACATAAATTAGGATTTTTTTTCTCTATGGAGCTCAACTCTGGTTGGTTTTTATTTTAAAAAATTGCAAAGAATATATTTAGAATCCTCATTCCAGATGCCATATAAATCTAGGCATTTAGTTTTGACAGGAATTTCTCAAATTAGGACTAACAAGGGATTTCTAGTTTCTGTACCAGGAAATTCTGTTCCCCAATGTATTTTTCTCTTTGAGGAAAATCTATGGCCCAAGCTTCTTCCTTAAGGGTACAAGCAATGGGTAACTATTACCTTGGATCAAACATCAAAGTTGACTTTAAAATATCTCATTTCCTGTGTCTGAATTAAGAATTTAAGCTCATCCTAAAGACTAGAAACTCAGAACATGTAAGTAGAACTTTTTATTTTAATGTCAGGTTCAATGAACTAATGAAAACAGCAATATTCTTTTAAAAATGTAGTGCATTGTGATGGAGATACTACATTTACAATTTTGTTAATTGCTTCTAACAACTCTTAGGTCTGATGGTTTTCACACACCAAAAAATGTTATCTAAGAAAGCATAACAGTTCTTGCTGATCTTTCTTCCTCAGCAGTCAAGGTTTATTTGTTGCAGCTTTTAATCTTCTGACTTGTCTTCCAATCACAGCATTGAAAAAGAAGTTTTAAATAAACAGCAGGGATACAAGATAAATAAACTTTTTTTTAAAGCAAGTGCCTAGCTTGGCACAGTTCAAACTCAATCCCCCGAGGACCAAGCTCTCTCTTTTGTGTTAATGTTTAAAAGATTTTCAAATGCTGAGTTTATTCTTACTGCAAACATTTCTATTTACAAGGTCAAGTGTATCAGCACTCGAGACAGCTTAAGAGCGTAATTATTTATCTAAGGGTGTTTGAGTGTAGATCAGTAGCTCTGGCAGAAAACCAGCCTTCAGAGGGCTGCAAAACAACTGCTAAGGCCAGTGTAAGACACAGGCTTGTCATTGTTGGTCACACATAGTTCATTATATCTGCTCTCTCCTGCATGAAAGGAAGATGAACTGGTTTGCAAAGTGGCTCCAATTCTGCAATCATTATTTTAAATGTGTTACATTTAACATATTTGACTATGGGGTTTGCCATCAACAAAAATTTTGTATTTTCAGTGAAAAATCTGGGACACAGCACTGTTTCTGTGGAAATGCAAAATGTTTAACTGGAATACCTGTCTCCAATCATACACCAACTTGTTGCCATGGTAACATAATTCATATCTATATCTATTATCTTTGCTCAAAGGAAATGTTTTTTGAAGGGAAGCAATTAGCAACTTAAGGTTGTCAAGTTCTCCAATTGCTCAGAGGAATACCACTGAATCCCATGAATTTATTTCATAGCAAGTAATTTGAAGAAAAAATCTATACCAAACTATTTCCATTTATATTCCACTCTGTTCCTATTTGGAGTGGTTTAAAAACAACTGCACCATAATTCTTCTTTAAAAATCTCTCTTTACTAATTTACACATAAAAATACACAATCAATAGATATTTAAACATAGGGCCTTTTCACACATTCTATAAAAATACAATGTTTAAGGAAGTCCAGAGAAACATGTATACAATTCTACAAAGTTCATAAATCCCTCAAACAATACAAAATTTAAATTCAGACCTATTTGAAAAAGCTCTGTACATTGTTTCATTTAGGGAATTATTGTTGTTTGTATTCCTTAACATACAAAACTATATCTGCCTCTTTGCAATAAAAGAATAACAGATGTATTATTTTTTTGCAGATGGGGTACATTTAAAACTTTTAATTTCTTAAAAAATAAATTATTCCCAAAGTATACAATTTATAAAATTCTATGTACAAGTAACAACAGCTGGTAACAAAACCAGTTTTAAATACATTTTATATAAAATTTACCAGAGGTCAGCCCCATGACAGGATTAGGGGCAATATAACTTCTCAGGATATTTTTATATATTGAGTTTAAAAAGTGTTTGTTTGTTTTTTTGAAGATGGCAGTGCAGAGCTCTTAGAGACAAAGGTTGCATTGTTCAACAGCCAACAGTTCAGCATTTTTTTTCTCCTAGGCTGAGGCAAGAGAGGTTTGCTGGTGAACTTATGTATTGCAATTTTAAGTGATGCAAAACCTGAACAGAAAAAGAAACCTTTACAGTAGGAAAAACAATGAACTTACATATCATCCCAGACATCTAGAATGAACTTGTGTATCATCACAGGGATGTAGGAAATTTAATTAAAGCTTCCAAAGTTATGCATCAAGAAAGTAAAACTGAAGTATGTGCAATCATCACAGATAACCAATACATGCCAGTATTATACTTCATTCTGCAAAAAAAGTCCTAAACTTATTATATATGAATCTTCGAAATAACTCTGAAACCTCTTCCCTCTACACCTGCACACCTACCCAATTAAAAAGAATCAAAACTGCATCTTCAGTCAAGCATAATTATGAATTCTGTGGATGTTAACTGGATGGTAGGAGTCACTTGTTGAATGGTTATGCAAAGCAGCACTTTTGGAAGCATTGCAGGGAAATCTTCCCAACTTCATTGAGGACAGCTTGGAAAAAAAATTGTCATTGGTACATTTATTGTTTTCAAGTTGACTGTAACCATGAGACAATCTGTTTAGTGTTCTTAAAATCATTTGCCAAATGGCAAGTTTGCATAGTGCACATGTACAGGAATGTCATGCATACTGTATATTTCCTAGCTGAATGCATACAGGATTTAGAAAAAGTTCAGCTGTATGTAATCAGGCAGCTGCAAGTGGTGATGTCTGTGCACACGGCAAAATAAACACTGCACAATCTACACTCCTGACATGCATAGTCAAGACATTTCTTACGATCTGGTAAAATAACTAATGTGCAATATATGTAAAACCTACAGGTGAATTCCAAAGCATATTCATTTTGAACATCAACTGGAAACCCTCCTAAAATAAAAGTGTCAATAAAGGAAGGCTCCAGTAACAAACTCCACAGCTTTTTAATTGTACTAGACTCCCTTTCTTTAAATTAAAAAGAGAATTTAATACAACAGAAGCATCCCGTTCAGGCATCATTTTTAAGAGAGAAGCGAGGAGAGAAAATGCCTGTTGTGAGAGGAAAATTCTTTACACAGCTAGGAGCACACAGGAAACCAAATCCCGGCCAAGGGGACTGGCCAACTAGGAGGTCTTCCAATTTCCAGCTTCTCTCCACCAAGGAAACTAGGAAGCCCAGGCAAGATGCTCAAGGATACTGGCCTGTTTTGGGGGATTCCTCTTCCTAAGGTACCATGTTCCTCGAGAGATATTCTGCCATCCTGTGAGAGAAGAGACCCGGGGAAGCTCTCAGAGACCCTCGCCCAGCTAGTAGAAACCCTCACGCGGGACAAGTAGAAACCCACACGCCTTTCCTCCCTCTCAGCTCGGCCAAGGCCCCCCTCAAGAGCCTCTCCTCCCAAGGCTAGGCTAAGAGAACAGCAACAGCAGCAAAATGGAGGCGAGCGAGAGCAGCGTCCAAGCGGCCGCAGGGGCCGTCCCGCCGTCCCCGGGCTTCCTTGGGAAAGGCGCTTCGCCGCCCGCAACTGCGGCCATGTCGTCGAAGTAATTTCTGGTGGGCTGGCTGGGCTCCTCCTCGTAGTCCTCTTCGTCGTAGTCGTAGGAGATGCCGTCCGAGGCGCCGCTGCTGCCGGGCCCCGGCGCCTCGGCCCCGAAGCACAGGCGAGCCATGTTCTCCTTGACCGACTCGCAGATGGGCCGCTCCAGCCCGTCGCACACGCAGTCGTTGAGAAGCTGCGCCTTAGGCACGTCCAGCATGTCCTTGATGACGGCCTGGCACTCCTGGGTGCAGTGGAGGCCGTTGAAGAGCTTGCCGCAGAACGCCATATAGCGGCTGAGAGCCACGCTGCACCGGCTGTCCCAGTCGCAGCGCCGCCGCGCCTCCGTGCAGCCGATCACGCCGCCGCCCGCTCCCCCCACGCCACCTCCGCCGCTCGTCCGAGGCAAGCACGGCTCGATAGCGCGCTTGGTGGCGCGGCACTTCTCGTCCTGGTCGCAGTCGCAGTCCTCCAGCGCCGGGCCCCGCCTGGTGTGGTTGAGCTGGATGAGCGCCGAAATGCAATGGCTCGGGCACCGCCGCCTATTGGAGGAGGAGGACGCCGCCGCAGAGGCGGCAAAGCCGTCCCCCTCGGCCATGAGCACCGGCGCGCACGCCTCGGCGTACTGGCTGTAAGCGTAGCCACAGTCCGGCTCTTCCTGGCACTGCAGCATCGCCTGCCAGCAGATCAGGCGCCGGCCGTGAACCCCCGACGGAGGCGAGGCGGCGCCCAGCAGCACCAGCACCAGCAGCCTCAGCCCCAAGGCGGCCAGTCGCGGGAGCAGCGCGGTCCGTAGGCATCGTCCTCCTCCCCGCCAGGCTGCCACCATCGCGGGCGGCCGCAGGGCAATCGTGGTCGGGAAGCGAGCGGGCAGAGCGCGGGGGGAGCGGCGGCGGCGGCCCAGCGGCTGCCGAGAGTAGAAAAGTTTGGGGAAGTTGTGCCGAGGGTGCGCATGGGGCTCTTCCTCATCAATCCATCCGCCCGGCGCCCGTCCGAGGCCTGGGAATCTTCCTTCGGGAACGGTTTTTCAGAAAATCCCCGGAAAGCGGCGCCTTTTTTTCCCTTTTGCAGCCCGACAGCCTCCGCCCCTTACTCCCGGGATGGGGAGGCCGGGAGGCGGCGAAAGAAGCCTGGAGCTGCGGGGTGATGGGCTCCCTGCTGAGTCGGAGCGGCGGCGGCGGCTTCCCTCCTTCTCATGCCGATCTTCTTTCTTGGAACTCAGCGCATCTCTCGCTCTTCACATGCCGAGGCGGCCGCGCTGAACTTTCCCCCGAGCCCCGGCCGGGCTCCGGAGGCGCGCCGAGCCTCGCAGACTCTTCCGCTGTTGGGAGCAAGGGGAGGCAGCCGGACTCACCGCGGGTCCCGAGCTCTTCCCTCGGCGCCGATTCCAGCGATCCGCCGTTGCCTCCTCTCTTTCCCGACCCTTTGGAGGAGCTGTTTTCTTTCGCGAGGCTTTAAATACAAAAGTGCCCTCCGCGCAGCGGCGGCAGCGGCAGCAGCAGCGTGTTCTGATCCGGCCTCATTATGCATGCATGGAAAAGCAAACAAACAAAAAAAATTAGCAACGCTTCTCCTCCTTATTACACATCCCCACTTGGCAGGAGCCCTCCGACTGATTCGCTCTTTCTCCTCCACTCCCACTCCGGGTGCTCCGCCCTTTTCCCTCGCTACGCCACTCGCCATTGGTCGGACCGCTGTTGACTCTCCTCTTTCCCCTTTTCTTTTACGAGCTCTAGGAAAGGAGGGGAGGGGGAGCCAGTGGGCTGCTCACATTCAAAGCTTGAAAGGAAAGGCTTAAAAAGATTGACAGTACCCCCCCCAGGAACCCAACCCCCCCTCCCTCTCCTATTAAGGAAGTTCCTCCACGCCGCTTCTTACGGAGGGCGAAACTTGCAGAAAGGGGAAAGTTAGCGGCCGCTCTCCCAGAAACGCCTGCTAAGGGCGCTTTAAGTTAAAAGGGACTTGGGAAAGATAAAGGAAAGTTTCCAACGCTCATCATCATGAGAAAGAGTTGCGCACTTGTTGCACTTAGAGTACTTCCAGGGAGGTGGATCGCTGTCTGCTCTGCCCAACAGGGGGCTGAACATGTAAGCTGCTCCGTGGGGATCCGGGAGGCCCGAGTTTGTTAATAAGACACACTCAGGGTCAGGGTCTACACCTCCCACCCCTCCGCCGACCTCTCCCGTCGTAGGAGCGGTTTCCCCCCTAAAGCTTCCCGCTGAACTTTCACTTAAGACCAAAGAAGTCCCAAACACCGGTTACCCCGCCGTCGCTTTCTGTTTCGCAGGTTTGAATGAACCCAGGGAGGAAAAGTATAGGAGTGGCTTAGCTAGAAGCATGGATTTTGTTTGTAAGGGGAGGCTTGTCTCTGAACGAGGTTCGTCATCATTCCTGAGGGAAAAGCTTGTACAGTTTTGAAAGCTGTCCATTTTGAAAGGCGGAAAGCAAACAATGGGACATTGGTGGGGAGGGTTTGAGAATACACGTCCGTAGTTGGATGCAATGGTTTAAGATACCAGGCTCAACTTGGAGACAGTTACTCCTACTTTGGCCTTAGGCATGAATGCTGGGTTGGGTGACTTTGGGTCAGCCATTCATTCTGAGCCCTACCCACCTTACAGGGTTGTTGTGGGGAAAATAAGAGGAGGAAGGAGTATTATGTGTGTTTGCTCCCTGGGGTTACTTATACAAAGTAATAAAGTTGGAATAAAAATAAATAAATACATACCCTATGAACTCACATTAGTACATGTTATAAGGAGAAGAGGTTAATAAACATGAAGGGTGGGGGGGAAAGTGAAAATTGGTATCCTTCAGCTTTGCTCCTAATATTTCTTGAACGTGTGTGTGTATGCGCTCCTGTTGTGCATGTATGTGTGTGCGCCTTTTGGTGCTACCTTAAGTTTTACTGTTGCAAACATTGTTTGACCGCAAGGGGCATCAGTGTCTGCTGACTGTCAAGGGACAGCTTTGCGGCTTTTTAGAGGAACGGAGCAGCTCCATCTGTCAGAAAAATCACAGCTAAAGCTATTTTCCAGAACCAAAGGGAGCCTGAACGTGTGGGATAAAAGTTGTCTTAAAATCTCAAGTTAGTATAGACATATCCTACAATTAGGAGTCAATATGACAGAATCTGTTTCAAAAGTAATCCCAACAAGCAAACTTTTCTCTCTGAAATCTGTTTTCACATTTAAGAAACAATCTGACAAACATTTTTCTCAGTGCCTACCTCCACTGGAGAGGCTCATTTTACCCCAGGCCCAATGTTTTAAGGTCTGGAATTTGATTTGGGAGACATCAGCCTATCCTCGTTTACTTGGGAGAAAATCTCTCCAGAACTCAATCTGGTTTTCTTTCAAACAGCCTTTTTGTACACAGTAATATTTATTACAGAGCATCACATAACAGTGTCCCTGTTTCTGCTGCAAAACAGTGTTACATATCCAAATGATGTACTGTATGCTCTTCAAAGGAGCTGAAAATTGTCTGTAACCTCTGCATTTTTACTTCACAACACAAGTGTTTACTTCACATGTGAGGTGACTGATTGTCCATAGGTACCATTCTGGTTAAAATGACAACTTGAATTGTGTCTTTCTTGAACTTAGATTGATACCTTCCCATAGTTGTCCAGTCACTGACTTAGTTCATGTGAGATTACTCTGCTTCAGACTCAGGTTGTTGGTTATAGTTCACTGGCACTTTTAAGCCAAATCTCTGCTATGCTACTATGTACACTGGCTTTTCTGACCAGATAACAGATAATCAGAGTTGGAAGGGACCTTATAGGTCATCTAGTTCAATCCCCTGTCCAAGCGGGAGACCCTACACCATTTCTGACAAATGGCAGTCCAATATCTTCTTGAAAGTCTCAAGTGATGGCGCTCCCACAACTTCCGAGGGCAAGCTGTTCCATAGGTTGATTGTTTTCACTGACCACAGCATAACATTGTTCACAATTTTTTTGTGTACTTGATTACAAAGTTCAAAGAAGTGTCTTCGATTCAGATTCTTGCTTTGGTTTCCAACACCAGCATTGTCCTAAGTTTGCCATCTCTGAAAAATTAAAAAAGGACATTTGTACAACAATTTAAAATGTTAAGTAAAATTAACAAATACAATTGAGATATGAGAAAGATGCCAAAACATGGTGTTTTTATAAAGAACCAACAATACTCGACAAGGTGTTATTACGGGTAGATGAAAAATTGATAAGGAAAATATATAATCATTTACTAAATTTTGAAATGGAAGATGAACAAGTATAAGAAACAATGATATAATATGGGCAAAACATTTTGGCTATGCTATAGAATTAGTCAAATGGCAAAAACTTTGGGATAAACTGAAATGGCTACTGCATATAAAGAAAATCTTTACAAAATGTTTTATAGGTGGCATTTGCCACTGGCCAGGTTAGGAAAAATGTTTACCAACGTGTCCGCCAAATGTTGGAAATGTAATGAGACTCCAGGTACTTATCATGTGGTGGACATGTGTGAAGGCAAGAAAATATTGAACAAAAATACATACATGGTTGGAGAAGATGATTAAGTAACACATAGATTTTAAACCAGAAATATTTTTGTTAGGTATAATACCAGAAAATTATGATAAAGGGATTATATACTTAATGTTACATATATTGATAGCAGCAAGAATTGTATTTGCACAATATTGGATAAATGAGAACACCCCACCAGCTGAAAATATAATCCGGAAAATATTGGACTGTGCACAGATGGATAGATTGACATTGAAAATAAAATATAAAGGAGACACAGAATACTACTTAAGTGGAAAAGGTTTTATCAATGGTTAGAGATGAGAGGTAGAAATGAGATGAAGAAAGAGTATTGTTATGTTTAAGTAAAATATGAATGTTGTTTATAATTATATGTATGCCAATATATTTAATAGGAACATAAATAAGCGAATATAATTATAAATATTTTGTTATATTTTTATTGCTATCAGTATATGTGTTATCTTTTGTGTGTGTGTAGTAAAATGGTATGCCCGGACAATACGCTGTATTCAAAATACTTATATATAAATAAATAAAAACTTGACTTAAAAAAAAAGTTAAGTGAATTCTAAGTACAGCAGCACCATGTTTAAACCTGCAAAAACCAGGATTAGTGACCTAACTAAAACACAAGAAGTATAATTACCTACTTTCATATCCATTAATTAGCAGTTCATCCACTTAGGTAGAAATCATTTATTATATAATGTTAATAGTTCATCCAGCTGGATTAAATGTGAGCATTCCTGCCAACTTTCATTCAATTGGAAAAGAGATTGTATTGAATGATAAGATTTAGTTCATGAGCAGTTTCAGTTCATGCCTGCACAATTTACATATGTCAACCCAACAAAGTCCATCAGTTGGGATTGGAAATGTGATGACCCAGGGTGGGATACAAAAACAACATAGGCACAAAAACAGGTGAAGTCCCTTTAATTCCTTCAACTTGGCTTCAAAGCTCCAAATATCCTTGACTGGAGATAAAAAAAATCCCCCACAAACAGTTGCAAAAAGCAGGAAATGCCTTTAAACTAAAAATACCTATAAATTATAAATAGAAAAAACAACACAAACCACATTGAAGCAATTAAGGGAACCAGGCAAGATAAGGGCTTGAAGATGCCCACAGATAATGGAACACACACTGAGAAGGACGCTAAACTCAGGTAAGAACAGACAGATAGAAACATTTTCATGCTTTGTTTCCAGCACTGCTCATGCGCAGTCCTTTTAACCAGTTCTCACAGCTGCAGCCCACAAAGAGGATCAAGGCCTTTTCCTCCCCTGTAGACCACGCCATACACATTTTTCCCTTATCCTCTCCTCTCTGCATGCCCTAGGATAGAGAGGGGATGAGCTTGGGTCCTCAGCTTCCTCCACAACCTCCGGAGCCACACTTTCACTCCCTGTCAGCTGTTCCTCCTCTCCCTCAGAGTCAGTCTCAAACAGGGGCATGACAGTAACCAAGAATAAGCACTTGGTAATGCCCTGTGACTTTAAGACAATTGAATTGCCAACTATTTCCCAAGTCACCACACAGTAGGCAAAGTGGACTCCATCTTCCTGAGACAACAGATTGCATTAGATTAGTCAGCGTTACTGATCTTAAAAGGCAAAGATGTCCTCCAGTTGAGTTCCTGGTTTACATGTACAGTACATGACTATACTGTTTTCTGACCTCCCCCTTTTTCCAGGGTGTGTTTTGTAGTGGGAACTTTTGATGGTCTCCTATTCAAGTATTAACCAAATCTGATCTTGCAGAGTTCCAAGTCCAGATGTGGTCAGCCCTTTTCTGCTCTGTGTTCAGATATTGATTACGACTATGCAGAGATCCATAGATAAAGGAAAAGGTTCCCCTCACACATACATCTAGTCATTTTTGGTTCTAGGGGTAGTGCTCATCTCTGTTACAAAGCCAAAGAGCCAGAGCTGTCTGAAACGTCTCCGTGATCATGTGGTCGGCATGACTAAACACTGAAGGTGTATGGAACACTTACTTTTCTACCGCAGTGGTCCCTATTTTTCTACTTGCATTTTTACATGCTTTCGAACTGCTAGGTTGGCAGA